TAATTTATTAAGTGAATCTCATTTTTAAGACGACATAACCTAGGCCAGCAAAATTCCAAGAAAAGCTTTCTTATCCACACAGGCAAGAAGTATGGCTAGCAAGTGTTTGATCAGAATGCAACATGACTGAGCAATTATTTTCAAAATGTGATCAAGCTGTAAGGTTTCAACGTCTTCCCATCCTCTTAAGTATCTCCTCTGGCCCAAGAACATGAAAAACATTATGATGCCGATCTGAGAAGCACACAAACAAATGGCACTGCTACTGGAAGCTAAAGCCTGGCTTGCTTTGCAGGGCCCCTGACTGCCAATAGACAGATGGAGTCTAAGGTATGGACACACCTATAGGGACGTGGACCCCAAACACCAAACTATTCTACACAGAAGCTGCTGCAGAGCTGGCACACGACACTCATTTTTCTTTAACGGCTGACTAGAAGTGGATCTAACATGACAAATTTAAAATTCCTTTACTGATTATCTAGAATATCCTCATATGTCTCATGCAATTCCAACAACACTGCAGACTTCCATGTGCTGGCTTTACAGACAAGTTCTGGCAGCAGAACTACTTTTTATTGTAAAATTGTAAGCCTCTTCCAAGAAATTGAATTTTGCTTTCTGTGCAAATAATTTCTATAGATTAAAAGTTTACTGTTCAGTGTCTTCTAGAACTGTACACAACTTTATTTAGTAGCAATATACATCTAGTCAAGCAATTAAGAGCAGGCCTAGAAATTTATAGTGCAATAGATTATTATTAAAAATTATAGATTTGCAACTAATCAACCTGCATTTTTTACAATATATTTCCATAATTCAGTGTTTTATAGCTACTTCCACTCACACATTCACTGTCCCTAGTATTGAAGCAACTCTCTGGTAACCACCCAGCTATGATACTACTGTGACAACTTCCTTTTCAGATCAAGGATCACAGGCAGTTGATTTCAGAGTGCTTGCAGAAATGCTGTAACAAAGTGTAACTGAAAGAATATGATTCCTGCAATTCTTTGATGATAAAACTGGCTCCTAAATCTAATACTAAATAAAAATTATTTCAATACAATCATTATCCATTGTAAGACACTAAACTATTGGATGGTGCATCCAGCCAAAATTAGAGAACACTGCTGTCTGCAGGACTTGCCTACTCTTACTGTCACCTACAAACAGTGCACAGGAAGCTGATTTTTAGTGGTGTTGATATAAAGGTTATTCTGTCAGAAGCTTAAAATGAGAATTCATTTTAAAATTTCTCTTTCTCACTGAAGCTTGCAAAGTGCATCAGCAATTAACAATTCCTATCACTTCTCCCAGTTTGCTGTATGAAAATGCTCAGAACTCGTCTTACAAATCGCTCTTTTGAAGATCAAAGGGAAGCCGAATTTGTGCTCTGGATGAGTTAGTAATTTACTGGAACTTTCAGAGGAGGCTTGCCAGCACACTTGTTTGACATCCCCAGGGCACAGGATTGAGGGGAGCTCTGTGACTCTTCCCTTCTGAGTTCCTTCCTTAGCTTTAATTGGCACCTCATTAGAATTTAATGAAAATGACATCTTCTGTTCTTCCCGCTCAGGGCATAGAATGCTACAAAAAGGCCCATCACAATTCATAACACATGAGCAATGGCTCTTAAGCATTATTTATGAGATGTGAATTTCTTGTCAGAAGTTAGTACTTTAACAGAGTGGAAGAAGAATGAAAAAAGATTTTGAGAGTGTGTATGAAAACAAATCCTTCTACATCTGATGAATGTTGTACTTGAATTGCTGGAACTCCCTTCTCAGTTGTCAATTGTTGTTCTTCACAGCAAAGCCCTGCAGCTTTGTCAAATCTGTCTAAAATTCCATGCAGTGTCAAGGGAATGAGCTCAGCAGCATCACCTTTCTCTGGGCAGGGCTTACAGGACACAGGAGAGCCAATACAGCAGCTTCCCAAAGATCTCCAAGCCAGTGTAAAGCACCAGTCATTCTGTCTGTCTCCTTTCCAAAAAAGATGTGCCTTCTTGGACAAGTCCCAGTTAACTGGATCAGTATTTGCAGATATGTCTACATTAAACATTTTTAATTTTCTACTATGTCTAACTGAAAGCCTCTCTGGAGGACTCACCAGGACAAATCATCAAAAAGTAAGATGATTTCCAGTACTTTTAACATTGGGACAAGAAGATATGCAACAACAAATGATTAAATTGTCGGTCTGTGGAGTTAATTTGGATTTTAACACAGTTTGGATCAACATTTTTATGCTTTAAATTCTTTTTCCTTATATCCAAGCAAACCCACACATCTGTCATTCTGAAGATGATGTCTCCTTTTTACTGATCCTGATATCAGATTTTCTTTTAATGTTTAAAACTCGGAGGGGTTTCCTCCATTTTTTCCCATTGCTTCAGTTCAGGATTAAGACACCAAGAATTTAATAGCAATGGTTCAAAGTTCAGCTCAAACAATGTTCTGTGTTGATCATTACTTCTAAAGAGTGTACGTGCTTATTTTACATCAGTTGATTCTATCTCATTGCCTCCACCTGACCACACATCATGACCTGTGCTTCACATTAGGACAGAAAAGGATAACCCAGTCATGTGTGGATTTAGGAAATATGTTAAACAAATGAGAATTTGACAGATTTGTTCTACAGCATTTCCATCAACTCCTCCCAGGGTTTTTGAATGGGTGTCATTCATGACCTAATTGTGCAACCTAATTGTATAGACAGTAGGGCAAGCAATCTAGAATGGTTTCTCATGCATGGTTTCTCTTTAAAACTGACCAGAGCCGCATGCTCTGATTATTGGTAAAGCAGTTTCGGTGATGTGAAGCTGAGGTGTCCTGTGTTGCTCAGTGGTAGCATTTTGCTTGCTTCTTATTAATCTGACTATTAAATCTAAGTGGCACAGGGTATGCACACATTCAAATCACATCAGAGCACAGACAACACACCCTTTACTACACACAATATTAATGAAACATTGTAACTGCACAGAAACAAAAAATCTCCAGTTTTTTCAGACCTTTTGTACATGTGGAAATAAAACACCTGCCTTCTATTTTCTCAATAAAAGTATGGAACAAAAAATGATAATACAAACCATAAACTGTATAGGATGTAATGCAGGAATGCAAATTTTCATCTTGCTTATTACTGAGGAATTCAGAATTTTTTTCAAGTTCATGTTTTATTAACATATTTTATGAACTTTAACAGAAGTATTTCCATAAAGCTATATATGTCCAGTAGAAGAAAATTAAAGAGTAATTCCTACAACATTTATATTGCAACAGTATTGAATTATGGAACCACTTCATTAAAAATTGAGAGGAACCAACCAAATATATCTGTAATCCAGTTTACAGGGAAAAAAAAGGCAGGTCTTATTTTATAATTTTAAAAACATTACTGATCAATAAAAGGGTTTTTTAAAAGTTGCTTTCAACTTAATTCCTCTTACATAGCTCCAATATTGCAGAATGCAGGAAATGCATTCTGCAGTATCGGAGCTATGTAAGGTTGATACATAATGGTTAAGCAATCATTTGTCCAATCCACCCCAAAATTCAAACTCTTTTGCTCCCAGTATTAGGGACCATTCTGCTATTTCAGCCAGGTGCCCATAAGCAGCCTTAGTAGGTGCATACATGACAACAGCAGACCAGGAGCAGAAATTCTTGCCTCTACCACGCTGAGCAGAAAGAGCCATACCAAAATGTGTCATTGATAACCCTGAATTTCTTCAGTTTGATAAAAATGTTACCAGACACTTCAAAGTATCTTGACACATGATTTTCATAACAAGAATTTCAACATTACAGCTTTTGATTTAATGTTTTGTGGCTTCACAGATAATGTATATTAGTTCTGTGCCAGTGCTCCAATATAGAAACAATGTCTATCTCATGTCTGAAAGAGTCCAACACAACAGTAATCTCTACAGCCTGAAGACATACAGATGCTTAAGAAGAGAACAAAGCACAACACAAAATGTGTGCAGTTTTCTATCGCTTCTCTTCACTTGGCACTTGGTATTCAGTAAAGGATTAATTCCATTTATAACTACCTTATCCCACCCTTCCTCTCCACAGTGCTGCTCAAAAGAACATGCCATCTCTCCAGAAAATGGTTTTAACACAAGATTTTATATTTCACGGGTGCAACATGAAATGCACCTATCATCTGTGCAGATTCTTTGGAAATCATCCCCTGCCTGAAACACAAAGGAGTAACTGAAACAAACTTCTCCAAATGTACCAATACAGGCATTGTCTGAGAGTTCAATGCAGCCTTCAATACATGGTTATTTGAAAAAATAATTAGCAGATAAAACTACCACATGCATTATCACTGGGTCTAACGAGCACATTTAAACCAGTTAAGAACGCAACTGTTTCATGAAGGAGAGCACATCTCCTTTGGAATCTAGTCACAGTAATTATTGTTTCAGAAAGATTATTTGTGTTTAATATGAAAACCCAAATTAGCTGTCTGTATGGTATTATCCTCAATTCAACTACCTGAACAGGGTCATCAACTTTGGAAAAGCCAAGTTAGATGACTTTAATTGTATGGTGAACTAGAAAGTCTTCCCCCACAAACTAAGTGTGAGAATGAAAATATTTTTAATTAGAGGGTTTTTTGGATTTAAGTTTTTAATATTAATGTAATTATAGCATGCAGAAGCAGATACTGACCTATGTTCCTTTACTCCCTATAGAAACTTCTTATCTTTGCATATTTATTGATTTGCTTTGTGCTTCCTCTCCTGTGAAGGGCGTATGATGCCCCTCCTGCCTTACAATGACTTCTGAAGCTAAATTCATTAATATTGAGTGGCATCTCTTGAGACAAAGCAGTATATGAAGGCCAAAGTTTTAAAGAGTAAATTAGACAGGAACTAATTATAACTTTTTGCTACCAGTGGAAGCTATAGCTTCTGTTTAAAGCATCTCTGCAAGGTGAAAAAGTGTTCTCTGTATTCCATGTGTGACACAGATCTGAGCATGGTTGTGTTCAAAAGCTGGATTGACAAGCAGTACTCACCACAGCGACATGATCCCAGTTCCTGCTGTACTAGTTCCAGTTTTGTTTGGCACTGGAAGCATCGGCGTCTACTCTTCTGTTTGGATCGACTGGTTTCTTCAGGCCTGTTATTACTGTCATCCAGTAGTCGTGGCCGTTTCACAGGAGAAGCCTCACTCTCCGACTGTGAATCTATTGTATTCACAACAAATATTTTAGGAAAAATATTAGAATTTCCTCACTGAGGCACTCCTTTAGGCAACCTGAAGGTATATGGCTTTCAGCTGCGGTCACCACCAAGCAGTGTGATACCTCCCATTCTATTGCATATGCAAGTTTTCGTAATAACCAAAATGAGCATCAAGTAAAGGAGAAATTATCTTTGTTCCCCATAAGAACACCTACTGCTGTCAATACTGAATACAAAATGAACTGATTAGCTTCCTTCCAGCCTTGGTTGGGTTATGCAGAGATACATGTCGAGCATACACCATCCTAAAAAATTGCAGGCTTCATCTGTCATCTCATTTATTTTCTCCTGTGTGCAGCCTTTGGTGTCCTGACACAAACTGACTAAAGTGATGAAAAACAACTGAGCACAGGTTTGACCTATTTCATCCCTGGGCCAGAGGGGGATTTTTCAAGCACAACATGTAAACTGTATCTCTTATGACTGAAGGCAGTACATGAAAGCACCATACCGTGCTTCCCTCTCTTTCCACATAGATAACAACTTAAATTGTATACACCAACAATACAACCCCAAACAAAATAAGCATGACCTGTACATACATCACATAAATTCCAAATGCTCAGCCATTTCCAAAGTATTAGTCAGAATAGCAAATGGTATTAATAACTTTGTAAATTTCAGCTTGTAAAAGAAAATGGTGTGTGGAAAGCCTTCAAGAGTTCAAGTTTACATTAGCCTTACTTCAGGTAGCATAGTCCCTTCTTTTTCAGTCTATTTTTTTTTTTTTTCAATGGAGAGTGCACTGATAAGGGTTCTAGAGTAGCACATGGAATGCACATTACTAATTGAACTATGAAATTCCCAAGCCTTGTTTTTGTGGCATGTCAGAGACACAACATTTCAGTGGATCTGCTGTCCTGCAATCCAAGTCAGGTATTTTCTCTTCCCAGATCTGTGTACAGCAGAATCAGTGCTGTATTTCTTTGTAATAAGGAGCTGCTGAAAGACATTACTGCAATCAGTCATTATTCTACTGCATGATGGTAAGCAAAGAAAAAAAAGCCGATTAGCTGAGTTAAATCCCTTTTGAACCAACATGAATCCAACAAATAACAGGCTAAATCTATCTTTTTGGAGGATGGTAACCTATTGAACATGCCTGTACCATTATTCTAAGATTCCAATGCTTATGTCTGCTTTGTTTCATCCTGGATTAGGCAGGAACAGGTAAACACCATGTATACAACACTGTCCATAACATTGTTATGTCAGCTATCTTACCTGAGCCACTGCTTATCAACCTCATGACTTTCCTTGAGTAAACACCTAAAGGAGTCACACTTTGAATACTTGGTAGCTTCTCCCTTCAGGGATGATCTGTTAACTTCTCTTGGTTCCTCACATACAATAGAGACTAATTCACATTTCTTGCCCATGTTTCAGGCCTTGTGTCACAGTGTTTTTCCAGTTGTTGCACCCCACTGTTACAGCCATTATAAATATACACCTTGCCTCACTGGGGCCTACTTTATTTCTGTCATATTGCTCTTAAGATATGCTGAAAATGTGCCTGGCTTTACAAGTATAAAGCCTCTGTATCTCACATTTCATAGAAGAGTGAATTGCTTTCTGCACTGTATACAGGGGGTAAGTTTTTATTAAGCTGCAATGATTTTATCTGATGTGTGCCTCAAGACAACCACCTTTTTGATCAGTGTCACAGATTACAATTTACACCTTACAAAATACATACATATATACATATATTAGGCCTAAACTAAAATTCAGTACATAATGTACACTTCTGCATGCTTGGCTGTGCAGAAGCCTTGGCAAGGAAAAGAAAGTAGTGCATAATGCATTAATACAGCTATGGAACAACTAGTCCTGTCTTAAATCTCTGGAGAAAACAGTTCAAGGGAAAGATCCTCTGAAGAGACTGCCTGACTCCCTGAACAGAGATCCCAACTCATACTCCAAGGCCAACAGTCTCCAAGGACACTTGTTTTCAGAGTGCCCAGAACACCAGGCTAACCTTGAGTGTATAAGGACACCCCCTCCAACAGGCAGATTCTGTCCTGTGACCTGGCTAACTCAGTGTTCACTAAAACCTGCTCCAGCCCACCTTGCCTCAGATGAAGATCTACATCATTTGCAGTTTATTCACTACGCAAAGGAACAGGTACATTGCCATTATGGAACAGCTGCCTCCCATACATCTTTGATTGTGGAAATATAAGCCATTCTTGTAGTTCTCAGAAGCCAATTTGGTATTCTGAATTACACTGATGGAAACCATAGTGGTCTGTTGATTCTGAAGTCCAAATAAGGGATTCATGGTGTGAGTCAACTAGTGTCTAATAAGTTAATGAAACCATATGCCTTAATGATAAAAATAGCTACCTCAAGTCAGGCTAGTATGAAAATACTTAGTAACACACTTTCTGTTAATTGGAAATGACTAACTTGAATATTAACATGAGCTGGTCATTATCACAGAAATTATAGCTATCTCATTTTTTACAATGTGTATCTTTCTGCCATAGACTAAAACACTTAGCACTGAGGTAAAGTTAACCTGGGTCTCAGGGATAGCACCATCTCTCTGATCACTGACTGCCCAGGGCCTTGAACACAGGAATCCAAGCTAATACTACTCACAAACCAGACGTACAGCATACACACTTCCATCTTCCCGTGGGCAAGACCAACGAGCAAGGAAAAAGCACAGACCAGAAATTAGACCTTTTAGAGTCAGTCCTGCATGTATTTCTTCCAGATCATGTTGCTTTTCACAATACTGACACATGTAATATATGACACAAAATACATCTTCCATCAACTGGAATCTTGCAACCTAAAAGTTCAAAGATTTGATAGCAAAATGAGATTGTCATACATGGCTTTACTACCTGGAGCACAATTGAAAAAAATACCCTAGAAATACAGGCTGAAGTGCTGCATTCAAGATTCAAGAGTAAATTCCCAGTATGAACCTTTAAATAACCAAAAATGTCTACAGAGAAGAGGATTCTCTCAGCCAGTGACTGACAATGGCTTTTCTCAGGAAGTTGGTTCATTCAGTAACAGTTGTTTCTTCCTTTGCTTCAAAGAAACATTTTCCATGCCAAACTTGCATTTTAGTATTGCATCTAAACCACCAAATACCCAGTCCGAGAGAAAAACCAAAATCCTGCTCTTTTACCCACAGATGTAAAAAATCATAGAACTTCTCTGTATAAATGCACAATAAAGATGAGAAAGCCCCAAAATTTCAGGAAGAAACTGCTAAGCAGAGTAACTCCCATTGACACACTCCCACTGCAATTCTAATTCTGACTTAAGAAACAAGGATTCTTCTAACTGGTATCTGATGGTGGAGATCCTCCTAATTGTGTATCAACCTCCCACTTGAAATGAGAGAACAAAGAAGTTCAGTTAGGCAAGGCTGAAACTCAAGGTTTACCTGAAATCAGCAAGCAGAGCAGTGTTCTTAAAACTATTATGTCATGGACAGAGACTCACATTCTTTTCTCACTGTCACTGTTATCATCTTCATTACTCATGTTCTCCCCTCAAAATTTTTCAAAAAAGTGGTGCCTGAGCAGAATTCCACTCCCTTACTCTCCAGCCTTTCAGGAATTTGCAGGCTTCAGTTACAAACATGATGGCTCTTCCATGGCATTTGGGGGGAGGGTTGGGTGCTCTAGGCTCAACAGAGATGTGGGCTAACAAAACAGGGAAGGAGGAAGGATGGAAGAGATGGGAAAATAGTAAGAAAAAGAGGATCTCTCCTCTGCTGCTGCTTTCTTCAAGAAGATGAATCTGTTTAATCTCCTGTTTCATGACAGCTTTTGAGGCAGTCAGGTTTTTTTCTTATCATAAAGAACCCATCACACACACTGGCATTTATGATCTCAGCTGTCTGTGTAAACACCAGAACAAGCAGTCCTTAATGAACCCTAAAACATTACTGCCATCTCCCCTGAAACTATTTTAGAAGCAGCTTAAGCTGTTAAAACCTCTGTCCATGAAGAAACTTGCATAGTCACAGACAGTAGCTATGTAACATGGATTACCTAAAATTTGATCAATAGCTTGTTTCCAGTTTTTAGTTAGGGTTTTTTTTTTGTTGTTGGTTTTTTAGTTTGGGGTGTTTTTTGGTTTTTTTTTGTTATTATTCATTATTCTATTCTTAGATGAGGGATTACTTAACTGCCTGGCATGTTTATGCATTATTATGCATTAAGAATTTCATCTAGAGAAAACTGCTTCTATATAAATCTTTCCTATCACATTTACCAGAATCATAATTTAAAATAATCTCTCTAGTTCAAATGAATCTAAAATTAACATAGTTGTCCCAAAACCCTTTTGCTTGTTGACTATTAATGAAGAAACTGGAATTCAAGATTAACACCTCAAAAGCCAAATCTGACAACCATGACCGCCTTAGTCCCTCCCTGTTGCTATACAGGGCTGTGGAAAACATTATTCTGAAACTATGGCATTTCATTGAAATTAACATCATGTCTTCTCACACAATCGTGACTGTATCTCATGGCTGTGCACCAGTTTGGAAGCACTCACACTCATAAGAAATGTATTTCTTTTGTGAATTCACCTCAGTTTTTTTAAAAACACTAGACAGATATATCAAAAAAATCTTACATAAGCCCCTTGGTAAAATTTAACCACACAATCTCTTTTCTAGTACCATTACAGGGCCCTTATCATCATTATTTCACTGATTTATTTTTTTTCCCTCCACAGAGTTTAGAAGCAACTGCACTAAAACTCAATGTCCATAAACAATGTGAAATAGAGAGACCACATGGGAACAGTCTCTACAGAACTCACATCCCATCAGTCACTTCTTTGCCTCGGGAGGCTCTCGATGAAATCACACGGGAGACTATAAACAACACACATAAGTTGCATTACGTAAGTTATTATTTCTCATCCATCACCACAACCATGCAACAGTAGTTGTTTCCAG